AGTGTTCAGCTGAGTACAAGTTGGTTCTGCAGAGTGCAGTGTAAGTGTTTGGTTTAATGGCTGAGTGATTTCAGCCCTTGTATTTGGTGTGTGAATGGTTCTGCAGTGTGCAGTATAGGTGTTTGATTTAATGACTGAGAGATTTCAGCTTTTGTATTTGGTGTGTGAGTGGTTCTGCAGTGTGCAATACAGGTGTTTGCCCTCAAGGTCAAGATGTGGAAATCTATTCTGTAACTCCAAGTAAGGTTCCCAAGTTGCATCTTCAAGTGGGAGACCTGACCATACCACCAATGCCTCTAGTTCGATGTGATTCCCTTTGCRTATCCACCTGAAATCTGTTATCTGGGTGGGCTCAATTTGAACTTGGCCATCTTCCGAGAATGATGGGRGGGTGGTTGTTGTTATTGCTCCTGTTTTTGGCCACTTCTTTAATAGAGATACATGAAATACAAGGTGCAATTTTGATGTTGCTGGAAGGTCAAGCCTGTATGCCACAGACCCAATGCGTTCCACAATTCAAAATGGGCCGAAGTACCTTGGGCTTAGTTTGTACCACCTGTGGCCTGCTACTGAAACTTTCTTGTATGGTTGTAGTTTAAGGAAGACTTGCTCCCCAATCTGGTGCTGAACAGGCCTATGTTTTCTGTTGTAAGAGTCTGCCATCCATTGTTGGGCTCGACGGAGGTGGGATTTGAGATCTTGTAACACCCTATTCCGTTGGAGGAGTTGGTCTTCCACTACTGCTACCGCTGTAGACCCTTTCTCATATGGGAGTAGGGAGGTGGGTCTCGTCCATATAGAGCCCGGAAGGGAGTCATTCCTACTGCACTGCGATACATGGTATTGTACCACCATTCCGCCCAATGAAGCCACTTGAGCCACTGATGTGGCCTATCCCCTGCATAGCACCTTAGATAGGTTTCCAAACTCCGGTTGACCACCTCAGTTTGCTCATCTGTTTGAGGATGGTAGCTGGTAGATTTGAAGAGTTTCACTCCCTGTAGTCGCAAAAGTTCTACCCAGAAATGACTCATAAAAATTGGGTCGCGGTCTGAGACAATAGAGTTAGGGGTACCATGCAGTCGTGCCGCCTCCTTAGTAAAAATTTCAGCCACCATTGAAGCTGTAAAGGGGTGGAAAAGAGGGAGAAAATGACAGTATTTGGTGAATCTATCAACAACTACGAGAATGACGGATTTGCCATAGGAAAGGGGAAGCCCTGTTATGAAGTCCATGGATATATTCGCCCACACTTGTGTAGGAATTGGGAGTGGTTGTAGCAGACCTGCTGGAGACTGGGTATCAGCCTTATTTTTCTGGCAAATGATGCATTCGACTATGAATTTTTGGACCGAATTCCACATGCCTGGGTATCAACCTTATTTTTCAGGCAAATGACGCATTCGGCTATGAATTTTTGGACCGAATTCCGCATGCCTTTCCAGTGGAATTGGGTGGGTAGTCTCTTGTAAGTGCGCAAAATCCCTGAGTGTCCTCCTGCTGGTGATGAGTGGAACACTTCAAGAAGCTGAATCCTGTGGTATCACCATTCGACGTTCATACAACAGCAAGTTATTCTCCACTGTGTACCCTGGGTGGCTAGTAGGGTCCTCTTGGACCTGTGAACACAGCTTGTTTAGTTGTGGGTGTCTTTCAACTTCTTCCCTTAACTGAGTCATGATGGAACACGTTGGGCCCGTGAGAAATAAAGGAAATAGTTGTGGTTGGCGTGACAGCGCATCTGCCACCTTGTTAGTGTGCCCTGCCTTGTATTTAATGACATAATCGTAGCCGAGTAATTTGGCTATCCATCACTGCTGTTCCGGGGATAATACGGACTGCTCCAACAGAAATTTCAGGCTATGGTGGTCAGTTCGTATGATGAACCTCCTCCCTAGAAGGTAGGGTCGCCACCTCTGAACTGCGAGAACAATTGCTATCAATTCTCGTTCGTATATTGACTTGACCCATTTTTGTGCTGTCAATGCTTTGCTAAAAAACACCAGTGACCTTTCTTCTTGCATGAGGACCGCACCTACTCCTTGGCTTGACGCATCACATTCAATGATGAAGTCCTTTGAGAAGTCTGGAAGTGTGAGCGTCGGTGGGGACGAGACAGTTGTTTTGAGCGTCTCGAAGGCCTATTGGGCTCCTAGTCCAGCAGAAACCATTCTTCTTAAGTAAACTTGTCAATGGGGCAGCAATCAGTCCATACCCTCTGATGAATCGTCGGTAGTACCGTGTTAGACCCAATAAGCCCCGTAATTCCTTAACATTTTGAGGTCGGGGCCAACTTATCATGCTTGATATCTTTTCCGGGTTTGCTGCTACAATGCTGTTTTCGACTACGCGCCCTAAGTAGTGTACTTGAGTCTGTCCAAATGCGCACTTTGACTCCTTTGCAAAGAGTTTATGAGTCCTTAGTAGTTCCAAGGTGATTTATAGATGTACTAGGTGTTCGTCCCATGTAGTGCTGCTATATACAAGTATATCATTAAAAAAAAAAAAACGAGTATAAATTTGCGCAAATGGGGTCGAAATATGTCATTCATAAGTGCTTGGAATGTAGCTGGGGCATTGATCAACCCAAACAATATGACCAAAAACTCATAATGCCCCTTGTGTGTACGAAAGGCGGTCTTGTGGATGTCACCCTCATGGGCCCGAATTTGATGATATCTCGATCTTAGGTCTAGTTTAGAGAATAATGTGGCCCGGCCGAGTTCATCGATTGCCGGTATGGGGAATCGATCCTTCACAGTAATGTTGTTTAGGGCCCTATAGTCTATACAAAACCGCCATGTCCCATCCTTCTTTTTTACAAGTAATACCGGTGAGGAGAATGAGCTATGGCTGGGTTGTATAATTTTTCTATCAAGCATATCTTGCACTTGTCGCTCAATCTCTAGTTTATGAAAATAAGGGTAACGATAGGGCCTTACATTTGTGGGTGTCGTTCCGGGCAGCAATGGAATGCAATGATCATGGGCACGTCTCGGTGGTAGTTCCTTAGGCTCTTGGAAGATCACTGAAAACTTCTGAAGTAACTGCTATAGTTGTATGTTCGGATCTGCTGGAGTTACTTCCTTGGGCTAGAATTGGGCCGTTCTCGTGGG